CAACTTTGAACTGAAGTATCTTGGTGTTGTGCTGTCTAATTTAACTATTCTCTATCGATTGGTGCAAAAACTATTTAAATTGGACAGCTCAACACCAAGAAATTTGAGTTCAAAGTTGCATTGCCATTGGCTAATTTTGAACTCAAATTTCTTGGTGTTGAGCTGTCCAATTTAAATATTTTTGGCACCAATCGATAGAGAAAGACTTGGCGCATCTAATGATATCAAGAATAGTTAAATTGGACAGCACAACACCAAGATATTTGAGTTCAAAGTTGGATGGCCAAGAGGCAGGGCGCGTATCAAATGTTCTAAAACCCTTAAAAATTGTCTTTTTCCGTCTTTTTCTGCATTAATACCTTTTTAGAGTTAATTACGATTAAATTAGAGTTAATTAAAAGAAAACTCAAATAGAGGACCCCTTTTAAGGTTAATTTTTACCGTTTAACGTAAAGATTTGATGGGAAAAAGTTAAAGAGCTAAAAATTTGATGGAGAGAAGTTAAGGAGCCAGAAAAATGATGGGGAGAAGTTAAAGAGCCAGAATTTGTTGGGGAGCAGTCAAAGAACCAAAAGTTTGATTGAGAAAAGCCAAAGGCAATTGCAGATTGCAGATTCAAATGCAGATTCAAAATTTGATCTGCAGACATGCAGACAAACACGAAAAAAACTCCAAAGTATTGCTTTAGCAAAAAAAACTATCATTCAGTGTGCGGCTTCAACAATATTTATCCTTTTTCCGTTTTTATTTTTGGGAATGGTTGCTACGAAAATGATTGACAATGAGATTGTAAACGGAAGTAGGTTTTAGTTCTAAACTCTCTAATACATCAACGCCAGGGTTTCCGTAATATTCGGAGGATAAATTTGCACACAGATTTTGAGCTATTAGAGAGATATGTGCAAACTTTGAGTAACTTCTTTTTAGTGGCAGATATGGCATTGTTGTCCGCGTGTTTTCACTCGATTTCCACAAATTTGATCGTCATTTTTACATCAAAGACCTATCGAGAAGTTCTTGTTGGCTGGATGCGGCTCGAATGCGGAAAGATCTCAATGTCTTTTTCTTCAATCGTGCTTCTATGCAAGCCGAAACCCATCGCAACGATCCCGCAACAATCATTGTCACTTGTGCTTTCAAATATTAAATAGAAACAATCATAAACTCGATCTGGATATTTGGCTCGATATTTTATGTGGTTTTCGATGAGACTGCAATCATTTTTCAACTGTTTAACTTTTTAACTACTCAAGTCAATAGTTCACAGCGTGAAAATAAAAAAGTTGTACCGGAAAAACCCGTGTGAAGTTTGATCAGAGCGATTAAAAACCTGTGGACAAATGAAATAAAGCCACCTCAGAGGTGGGGAGAGTTGTGGGAAGGATTGTGGAAAGTATTGTGGGGAGTTTCTTAAAGTAAAGCTACATTGAACCTTTGTTTTTCAAAGCTAGGAGAAAGAGGGCGAGGAACGACTTCAGTTGAAGTCGGTCACTGTTTTCACATTTGAGAATTGCCCTGAATTTGTTCCTCGCCCTCTTTCTCCTACTTTCAACGAAAAATTGTTTTAGATGGCTTTACATTAAGAATCTACATCAAATTGGCTATAAAATGAGCTATTAGGCAAGTTTTTTGGCTGAGTAGAAACCTTTTTATATCCATTTTAGGGCATTTTTGAACCTAAACTTTGGGGGCTCAAAAAATTTTTTCTACTGAACCAAATGAGCTAATTTCAAAAATTCATTATAAAATATATGTATTATGAACATTTTTTATGTGAGTGACTTTTTGATTGGATGCCCGGAAATACCCTCATTCGTTAGCGGCTGAATTTCGTAAACGGTTACGACATATATATTCTGAAAGCTCAGGTTGAGCTCTACACGATGGTATCAGTTTTTCGATATGTTTTCTATTTTATTCAGGGTTTTTGCTACGAGATATATAACATGGGTTCTGTCGAGTACTTTTGTAGATATGGCGTATCAAAGTTGGTGAATTTTGAATTTTGAGTAAAATTTCTCGAAAACCAGCGCCATTTACAGCATCGGAATCACCGTGAAAAACGGCATAAGATAGGCTAGGTTTGCTTTAGAAAATTCGAATTCGAAATCAGTGCTAAGTTGAAAGATTTCTCCTAGTAAGTCTTCAAAATCCAAATACAGGGAAACTTTCCATTCGTATCATTCAGATAATGCCCTTCTATGCAATGTTTATTATCTGTGAAGCGTGATTTGTGTTTGTTTTTGTGTGCAAATGCTTGCTTATCCTTTTGAAAAGCTTCCGTAACACTTTCAGAAGCTTGTCGTGAAAAATTGTTTGAAACTTGTCAGAAACTTGTCGATGAGAAGCACGTCGATTCCACCAAGATTTATTCAAGTTTTCTGGTTTTCAGCGGCAATTTTTCTGATGTTAAATGCAACCAAGTAACACCAAATTTTATCTGTAAAGGTTTAGAGGTGAAATTTTTTGGGAGAAAGACCTCCTTGAAGAAGTTTAAAGCAATCAGTTGACTTCAGGGCCTCGCAAAATTTTGTTTTCACTACAGAAAGGAAAGTTCTTTTTTAATAAAAGACTCTTTGTCTCTTTGACTCTTTGACTGACTCTTTGACTCGACTCTTTGACTGACTCTTTGACTGACTCTTTGACTGACTCTTTGACTGACTCTTTGACTGACTCTTTGACTGACTCTTTGACTGACTCTTTGACTGACTCTTTGACTGACTCTTTGACTGACTCTTTGACTGACTCTTTGACTGACTCTTTGACTGACTCTTTGAGCACTGACAAATTTACCAAAGCATTTGATATTTGGCCAAGCCGAACGGATCGAAAATGAAAAGAAAAACCGGAATCACTATGCAGATAAGCTAGCCACAGTGAAACCTGCAAAAGAACGCTGATCAAAGTTTGGAGGAGCACTTGAAATTTACAGAATTACATCATTCGTCGATTCCAAATTCTGTCAGGACTTATTGGAAGAGTGTTACCGTATTTTCTCTAATAGTAGTGCACCCTGAGCGTCGCCTGAATTGCTCGAAATCTCGAGAACCGCTTATGAGAACCTATCGATGTGGGGTCGGAAAATGTAGCTCACGATGAGATCTAGTGGGGGATTAGAGTCTTGAGCTTCTGTGAAAGCTTGGAAACCATAAAATCGTCGCCAACTCGGCTCAGTGGGGGATTTGAGTGGGGGATTTGAGGGTTGAGCTTCTACAGCTTCTGCAGCTTCTGCAGCTTCTACAGCTTCTACAGCTTCTGCAGCTTCTACAGCTTCTACAGCTTCTGCAGCTTCTACAGCTTCTGCAGCTTCTACAGCTTCTGCAGCTTCTGCAGCTTCTGCAGCTTCTGCAGCTTCTGCAGCTTCTACAGCTTCTGCAGCTTCTACAGCTTCTGCAGCTTCTACAGCTTCTATAGCTTCTACAGCGTCTACAGCTTCTGCAGCTTCTACGACTTCTGCAGCTTCTGCAAAAGCTTGGAAACCGTAAAATAGTCATCAACTCGGCTCACCCGGGTGCACTACTATTAGAGAAAATACGGTATTTATCTTGGTGGATGTGAGCGCTCTCGTGTTCTATGTATTGTTTTGGTGTCTCTGTGCTGATTTCTTTGATAGAGTTTTTATTTTTGAGACAAAATCTAACAATGAGATTTCAGTAAAAGAAAAAGCAAAAATAAAGTAAAAGTAGACAGCACCTTTCTCGAGAAATCTTTCCCTTTTCACCAAAACTTTGAATAAACTTGGTGTACAAGTTTTTTGTTGTTTCCGGCCTTTAAAGCAGTGTGAATCTTCTAAAAAAGAAAAGAGTTTCCGCTCGATTTCACAAAAAAAACTCACATTTCGACGTTTTTTCCGTATTTTTGCCATAATATGCAATAAAATCAAAGAACCAGCGATAATATATGACGGATAGATCTGAAAAGAAATCCTATTTTCGACTTATTTGTAATTTTCTTCAACAGAACTTTTTTATTTATTTTGTTTTCTTAAAAAAAAAACAAATGTATTTGGTATTCAGGTATCTTTAAATTTTTTTAAAACTCTTTCTTTATCGTTTTGCTTAGACTTGTAACGAAAATATCTGTCGATTCTTTTTGCCGTTTGCAATTTAATGTTTTTCGAGTTTTCTCAGCACCCAACTCTTGGATTTTGTCTATTTTAACTATCATTCGATGCAGAATGAAGATTTCGCGTTGAATAATACCAATATTAACTTAAGGGTGACCAAGAATTACCCGCAACAACGTCGGATTATGAGCGTCGCAATGTTATGAGCCTCATTTCACTTTTTGCTTACCTTTTTTTTATGGTTTTTGTGTATTTTTTCTTATTTTAAAGCCTAAGCCTAAGCCTAAGCCTAAGCCTAAGCCTAAGCCTAAGCCTAAGCCTAAGCCCGACGAAAAATTGATTGATAGCTTTGTTCTCTGACATTAAGGAAAGAGTCCATTGTAAGGAAAGAGTCCATTTTTCATTGACAAGCTGGAAGTAAGGGAAAAGCCTACATGTATTCTTAAAATATCCCTGCCTCTATCAATCTCAGTCAAATATCAATCTGGCCAGTATAGTTCAAGGTCCGGTTAGAAATCTGGACACGAGTACCCTAGTTTGGCAGGTTAGAAACGGGTTTACCTCTTTGAGTAGAGCGTGCTTCTCTAAAAGACACTTATTTTATCACTACCGTAATTAAACGTAAAGTTTAAGACTAGATTAGCCCTCGTCAGTATCAATCGTTTTAAGAATAAGACTTCAGCAACAAAAATTGTGAGACCAAAACACTCCTTTCTGTCCCAATTCCCCTAATTTATTGAGAAGATTTTAGAATCTTTCAAGAAAAGAACGTTAAAATTTCTGTTTTTTTAATGTCCTTTTTTCATCTCCATAGACACCGAATAAATTCATCCGCAAATTCAAAGAATAATTTTTCTGTTCCCGTAAAAACAAAGAGTAAGTCCATATTTTCGTTGTCCCGTTTCTAGGACTTTTAAAGAATTTTGTTGGGAAGATGGATTCAAAGGTGGGTTTTTTGAAAATTTATGAATTTTCATCGATTTTTTGATCTCAAATTTTTCCTTAGAAAGTGGCTCAATCACTTTACGAGGCATGGATGGATGGAAAAGATCAAGTAAGTACAAGATGGTGCATAATTACGGTAACTCATTCAAATTAGTGTCACTCCGAACAGTTAACCTTTTCTAGTTTGGTCGTTTTTAATAGAAAATTGAGGTAATTTTCTACGCTTTTGTGATTTAAGCAGAAACTTCCTCGTCACTTTTATATGGAAGTTCAAAGTTAAAACTCGCTGACCCTCGGGATCACTGCTGTTTTTTGGTAATTTTAAAGGTTTATCAGCTGAGTGAGATGAGGGGAGATAAGTTACTGTAATTATGCATCACCCTGTAGTCTTTTGTGCACGAAATTCACAAACGGACTTTTTCTGGTGCACTGAATTCTTCATTTTTCGAGCGGCGATGCGCCTAGTATCAGAAGAGATCGAGAATTCAATGCTCCAGGAAGGTTGTGTTTGCATGTGAGCTTAGTACGCATCTTTGCGAGCATTTTTCCGAACGCAGCTTTGAGTAGCACCAAAATACGACCTTACTACCGTAACCAGTAAATCATTTAGTTGCAGTAACACAAATATAAAGAATAGTCATAAAAATTGCCCGGCGTAAAACAACAAAAAAAACTTATAAAAGAAACTAGGATATTACGCATCAAGACGGGTTATGGTAACTTTCCAAACTTTCAGAAAAGCAACGAGGACGAAGAGCGAGCCGATTCCGGCTTCAAGCACGTGACATTGAGTCGTAAAAGCAAATTTGCATACGATAATGCGTATCGACAAAGTATCTCGAAATCACCGGTATGATAAAACTTTATGGCATATTGGCAGAGCTTCCTGGCACTTTCAACAAGAATGTCCCGACATGACCCTAGAAACAATGAGCAGGATAGAGTAAAGCCAGAAGTTAAGTCGAGATGGACTTTGTCAGCTTGACAGATCTTATCAGATTGACGAGATTGGTTTTGATTCTCGAATATTTCTTTTGCAGAGCCCTTTCGAGTTAAAACCGAACCACCAAGCCTTGGAACAACCTGTGAGAAGTCAGAGTGTTTTGGTGAGACGATGTGCCAAAATTTGCAAACACACCGTTTCTGGTACACAAAATTCTTCATTTTTCTTGTGTCATCACCTCATTTTTAAAAGAGACGGGAAGAATTCAGTGCACCAGAAAGAATGCGTTTACAAGTCTCAGTAGCACAGCATGAGAAATAAACCGAATTTCAGTGTGCTGCTCAATCGGTTCCTTTGAGAGTGCCACCTTCAAGAAAGAATAAAAACAAAAGTTTGAAAGTACGTTTTTTATGAAAATGCAAATTCAGCTCCACCGCCGACTGTTGAATTTCCGTTGAAATCGGTTGGTTCGGAAAAATTTTCGTGTAAATAGACTCACTGCTTTAGTATGCGAAGATCTAGTGTTACAATTTGGCATATAGATAAAAATAATCGCACAAATTTCAGAGAAATAGCATCGCTGTTGGGCCATCGAGAAGACAAAATTTTCGCGCAAAGAGTGCACAAACGAATGAGGAGGATTGGGTGAGTGAAAAGAACGAGCAAAACTTGGGATGAACTATCTCGTTTTATTGGGTCTATCTAGTTCTTCCTTTAAATTTTAATTCAATCACCCAGCACCAGGTTCCAGACTTACCAAATCCCTAAACTTGACCTTTTCTAAACTTTTTCCAATTCGGGTCAGGCTAAGCCAAACAGAGTTTGGCCTTTGACTAATCCTGGTCATTACGAGTTCTTGGATGTGTACTCTGTGCTCAAACAGAAACTGACTCTTCCTGGCGCAGTCAATTCTTTATTTTTCTTATAGCAACATTAGGTATCTCAGGAAAGAATGAAGAGTCCGTGCACCAGAAAGAATGCGTTTACAGATTTTGCGCACAAGAGCAAGTTTAGTATGTTATAGTACAAATTTGCTGGTTTCAATGTGTTCTTTTTTCAGGATGAAGTCGAATTCACCCTTTTCTATCGCTGGGTCACAAATGGAAAAGAATCGGATATAAATGAAGAGACAATTATTGCTCTTTTATTCAAAAAAAATCAAGGCAAAAAGAATATGATGTGAAGATTTGTTGAATAAACTTTTTGGAAGGATTTTCAGCTAAGAAGTGTTACGCAGAGTTTAAAATAGGTGTCGACAGCCGAAAGGAGGTCGGATTTCTGAAAAGTTTTATCAAATTTACAACCTGGATACTCATCTTAATACTTGGAATTTCATTTAAGGTTTGAAATCTCTAGGTAATCTTTTTTTTGGTCAAACTGACCACTATGAACTCATCATCCGAATGTGCGTTTGTGATCGAGCCAGCGCCAAAGAGATACACAGCTAAAATTGTTTTTTAAGGGAGGCGTTCGAATTAGGACCGATTCTCACTAGAACCACAGTCTACAAAGTACACTTCAAAGAACAAGTTTAATCCAAACACACCTTTCAACAAATGTCTCCGATCAAAATACGGTAAATCCGTGTTGAAACAGGCGGTGATTCGTGGAGCCTAAGTTGTTTGATCTTTTAAGGATTCAAATTGCAAGGTTAGTCCAGTACCACTGATAATATAGTTACGGTACCTCAAATGGTGGTTCTGACAGTACAACAGGGTCATTTCCACCAAGAGTATAGTCCAATTCTGCGCGGTTACCCACGATTTTCTCGAGTCGCTCTCGGACATCGACTACTGAAATATGTCCAAATATTAGAATTCTTAAAATTGAAACATTTATCAAGCTATTCAGTTACCTGAAGTAGTGACACGGATAAAAATCATAGCTTCAGCCGCCTCCGCCCAGGCATTCAACGCGTGACCACCGCTGATCTTTCCAATGTTCAGAGTTGTGTCACCTGGGAAAATAAGTTAATCTGATAAATGTTGTTATTAGATAATGTATAGTCTAATCTATTAAGTAACTTCGTAACCAGTCTTTAAACCCTGTCTCCTTCCCCTTTCTACCGTAATCTTGTCTCTCTTTTTTCCAATCCAATCTATCTATTTTTTGTCTGATTTTGCGAGAGTTCACAAAGGATATCGAAAGATAGTAAAAAGTGAATAGATTGGATCAAAAATAGAGAGAAGATTAAGGTAGAAAGAGGAAGGGACACGGTTTAGGAAACACTTCAGCCCGCAAATCAAACTCACCGTGTAGCTCACTTTTCGGCCAATCGTGATTCATGATGTCGGTGAGAATCGGTAAAAGCTTGTGAATAGCGCTTACACCTAATCATTATATGAAAACAATTCAAATTTAGGTAAAGTTACCGGTATGAGGATAGCCAGAATGCCCCGCTTTGCCGGTGGTTTTGATGACGAACTGAAAGGAGGAAGTAAAGGAGCTTAGTACAACAGAAAGTGCAGAACATGTTTACAGGGTCCAGCACAAAGAACGCTTAATTTTTTTAACCTTGAAGGCTCCTTTTTGAATTGAGGCAAAACGATTCTCGGTCGGCTCTCCCACTACCAGAAAATGGGGTTGGAGTTGGAGTTTATTGGCTTCCTGAAGTGTTTCTGAATAAATTACTGCCAGGATTGTCACAAGGCCCGGCCAGGATTAGGGCTTGACCCACAAAATCCCTGGGCCAGGTTTGCGGCCCGGCTCTGTCTTGGCCCACATCCCTGATTACTGTAAAGTTCAGGCTCTGTTTCATTAAAGAATACCGGAGTGAAAAGTTCGTATTTAATTGGCTAAGTGGAATTCGCCAAAAAGTATTCAAGCTTCTTAACTGAATACCTTTACTTGGTATACTGCAAGGAGCTTGGGGTATACTGTATTTAAATTTTCTTACAATCATTCCAATGTGATCCAACTCTTCACCAACGACAAAAAGAAGGCCGATCTGTAAAAAGATAGTTTTTTGATTTACATTTGGAAGTCTATCGTTGGCCAACTGTATGCCTTTGTGGTAATCAACATGTTTTCTAAATGGTGGTGGAAGTGATTTTAACCCGTGTTCAATTTTAAAGGTTTAAAGATAAATCTGATACACATATGGATTCTAAAAGGTTAGAATTAGACGCTCTAGTTGTTCCCACCAATAAACAGTAGGGTTACGATAGCTTTTTATAGAGTGAGCGCAACTTTTAGAAACGGCAAGTCCCTCACTTGCTCGGCGATCTCCGGTCGCTCCTCAACAACCCGATTTGCTGCATAGATCATTGCCGCTAATTGTCCTAAAATTTTAAATTCAGAATATTTTCATTCTATCAACCTTTCGCATCATTACACCCTCTTCCATAGATCTTTTCCTCGTCTTCTTTTGGCGGAATGTACGGGGGTACTGTATCAAGATGGGTGTTGAATAGAAGGCGGACATCTGGAAAAATACTGTAGTTACCTGATTCAGCAACATTATTTGAAAGCAGCTTTTCAAAGTGCGGTACTCAAAGCAAAAGCTTTGCATATATTAATTTGCGTACGACTTTTTTCTTTTTCTTTCATAAGCTCTTATGCAAATTTGCTCGTATAAAAGCCCCTTCGTTTCCCATCAAAATCATTTCCAAAAATTCTTTTTGTCTCCAATCTCGTCGCGCGGTGGTCGTTCTTCTATTCTACTTTCGTTCGCGATCAAAATGAATATTTACGATTCCTTCACAATTTCCTCTTCGCACCAAATTGTGAGTGTGTTTATTGCTTTTGCTTTTTTTGACAATTTTAAAAAACTTTTACAAAGTTGTTTTGTGTTTTGTGGTTAAAACGGTGTCATTTTAAGATTTAAAGACTCCTAGGCCTTGTAAACATTAGTAAAGATGCTTCTTGAACATCGCGTTTTGAAAAATCCATCAGAAACGTTTCATTAAGTTTGATTTCGACCCTCATTTCTCAGTTGATAGTGTTTTTAAAGCCTAAATTTGCTTTAACTTTTGATATTACTTGATATTATCGACCCATTTCCTTCAGTTGCGCATAATGTTGTTTTTTCAGAATTCGGTGCTCGGACGTTTGACGGAGAATTGCAGTGTCGGTCTCGGACAACACGTTTTCGCTGTGAATGCCCTCGTCGTCGCTCACCACAGTCAACTTCTTCGGGATGTTATTCGTGGTAAGGCTTTGAAATTGGCGCTATATCAAATCAAATCTAACAATTATGTTTATGAAGCTGAAACCTTATCAAGAAAAGGATATTATTTGCTGTGCGAAATGTTTTGAAGTTAAATTTGGTGCTTATGTCGTGTTGCTTTGTCAACTCATTAACAGTTTTTCGCTTGTTTGATTTTGGATCCTGATAGCTGTTCCATGTAACGTCATGATTTGAATTACAGTGAATAATCTGGTCGAAATGAGCAGATTTTGGTGCAGTAAAGGTCAAGCTATTTCGAATCATGCTTTAATTGAACAGTTTGGTTAAAGCTTTGACATTTTTATATTATGTTGGTTGCTAACGATCAATATTGAATTTGATCTAGTATACTTTTAATATGTTTATTTTTAGAGAATGGCCACACTCCGCTCGACATCCTCACCTGTTCACAGCCTCATTTCACTCCCATAGGACTCCAATTGGCGATCGATTTCATGCATTCACGCGCCATTCGAGTGGAATTTCATAAGGTTTTTTAAAAATTAAAAAATGTTTATGTGCGTTATTTGAAGTTAATCTAATAGGTGCTATTTATTTTTGCATCATTAAATTCCCTTTTTAGTTAACGGATGCAATGGCGGCTGCGCACGCTCTGGGAATATCGGATATGGTGCACGCGCTTGAGCTCAAGGTACAAAAGCCTTTTCACCTCCCCTTTTCTAGGAAAGTTCATCAAGATTTTTGGATAAAAGCTATGCTTTTCTTTAGGTCTCTTAAAGTTTAGTTACACCAATATGTGTACAACTTATTTACCTAAAACTGCCCATACAGCTCTTCCTTCGAAAAACGACGGAGCAAAAGCCCCGAAAACAAAGGCCTTCTTTTTTATTTTCCCCATTTCCCCCCCCATTTTTTTTTGTTTGATTTCATCTTTGTAACTCTAATCTAATAGAAAAACTCAGAACAGCGTTTCAGATTATGTAAATTCCTGGAGATCCAGCGATTCTTGTCGTTTTTTCGGAATGAACAGAAGTGGGATAGCGGCCACTTTTATGTAAATAAGTTGTACACATATTGGTGTAACTGAAACTATAAATGACCTAAAGAATGGTATAGCTTTTATCCACAGGTTTGTGTTTTTGCACCTGGCTGTATTACTTTTGACTTTGGTGATTTTAAGAGCAAGTTGATATTGACAAGAAATGAATTATGATATTTATCAAGCTGAAAATATTAGCTGATCATTGTATTTGTGGTGCATCTAAGTTTACATCATTCAATCCACTGATTATTTCATTTAGATTCTTCAACTCTCCGAGCACCCGCAAACGGCATTAATTGCTTTGGAAATGGCTGCAACTGGAAATCTTCACGATGACAACAAGAAAGCTGTGCTTTTGGTTTTTTTTAACTAATAAGTTAAAAGTTTCTTCATCTTTAGAATTGCTTGACCTTAATGCAAGAGCTGATTCACAATCCGTCATTCTGTGCGACGAGCGAGCTTGGACTAAAGGTGATGCGTGTTTAAGCAATTTGTTTAAGTCAAAAGCCTTGTACAATCTTTGTTTTAGTCACTGCTCAACTTTGCCTTCATCTTGGAGTCGAGCGAGCCTCGCCCACCAATTTGGACGCTCCGATGGCCGTCGATTGTTGACGCTGTAGTCGCGTGGTCTCAAGTCAACTCGGAGCCCGGAAATCAGGTTTGACCTTACAAATTCACATAATGTTTTTGCAGATCCAAATTTTGTTTTAAACTTTAAGTGGATATAGCTTTAGTTTAATTTATAATTCGTCTCTATCTTTTAAATTTAGCTTCTCGGCGAGGTGCTCGATCATTTGCCAATCGATCGTCTGCCTTTGATGGATCTTCGTGAAATCATCGCCACGTCTACTTTGCTCGACTCGCCTTCACACCAATTCAACGCTTTCAAGGAACGTCTTGCTGTGAAGCTCGCCGATGTGACAAAGTAAGATGGTTTCTTTGATAAAATTTAAATAAAGTTTTTGAATTGCTGAGCTTGTGCATATTGCTTTAAGTTCGTGTTACAAATAAGAAACATGTATTATTGGAGCAAACATTTTAAACCTTTTGCCATTTGAATTTTAATTTTAGACTCGTTTTCGCTACAGAAAACCAACAACTCTATCGGGGAAGTGCAGCAATCATCCGTCCAACTCTTCCTTGTGTGAGCGATTCATCGGACGCAAATGAAACACTAGCATCGTCTCCTTCTCAATCAGGTACTTGCTTTGATAAGATAAGATTGTTGAAATTCTATCTGGTTCTATTAATATTGCGTTGGTTTAGGCTTTTCCGACTATTGCGAGACGGGTTCCTCAGGAGCACTTAATGGTGAGTTTTATCTCAAAGTTTCAGTTTTAACTTGTGAGCTTTAGATGCACCCGATTACATAGGAAATCGCATTCGAGCCGGAGTCTCAAATCAGCAACAATCGTCGGTTGGCACCGAGAAGCCCAAATCTGTGGATGATGGTAGGGTTTGTCCTTGTACAATTTATATTCTGTTAGCTTTTTGATCTTGTTTTTTTTAGTTACTTCGTACAATCTGTCAAGTGCCACCTCGGATCACGATATTGTCATGGATTATCGGACTCGTGAGTTTACTATTTAGCTTTTGTATTGATGAAATGTAATTAACTAAAACAATTGCTTTTGTTTAGCTCCCACACCAGTCAGCAAGATGGATTCGGCGTGCTCCCTTGTGCCGTTTGACTTCGATTTTGGCGAGCTTCCTCCAAACGACACAGGAATTTGGGATGTTGAGGTAATGGTTGTTTTAAATGAATTCATCTGTTGGGAATAATAAGCTTTGGAGATAAAAGGATCATTATCATTGTTTTTAGTTACTGCTCCAGTCGAAGAAGCCACTGGACTTGGCGAAGCAACCATTCGACATTGCTATCGACTTCGAATTCAAACCGCTTAATTAGAAGGCAAACAAAAAGATAAAATGAAAAAAGATTTTAAAATCCTGTTTTTGTTTGTTTGCGTACACTTGTGATCCATGTGATGAGGAATAAACGTTTTTGAGAGTCGCTTGGCGGCAAGGATGTAGGAAAGGGGAAATTTAGCTGACAGCTAGATCAGTCGTGAGCAATATTGGTAATTCAAGGTGATATTGGTTGAAAGAAGCACACCTACCCGAGTTTTGAGTCCGTTTCGCCAAAATATTCATTCGATACTCTTGCCCAGAAATTTTCTGCTCTTCCACAAACCATCCATCTTCTCGTAATTTGGAGGCGATGAAAGTTGCGAAATTTCCTGAACTGGGGTATTTGATTTGAAACGTTTCTCGTAGACAAGGTGTTTTTCCAAAAGATGCATTCGAAAAAATTACTGTAGCCCGGCTTATTGTTTGTGCTACTACGGTAGCTTTTCCAAAGACAGCGGGTTACAGTGAGTGGCTTTCAAGAAAGTGGGATTATGGTAGTGATTTATCGGTTCATATCATTTACTCGTTTGCCTACTCACCTTCATTTCCCGTCGTTGACTCGATTTTCATAGAGTCGATGAGAAAATCGGTGACATCTTGTGGCATTTTGCTAAGAAGTTGTGAAAATGAAAGATTAGAAAAGAAAAGGAAAATATTTCAATTTCCTGGACAGGTTGAAGTTCTAAAAAGATTTTAAAAATCTTTTAAAATGTTTTGAATCGTTAAGGCGGGTCGATTTTTATGAGCAAACGAAAAAAAGAGATGGGTTTTTGGTGATACCAGAAAAGGAGGGTCATAAAATGAATGAAGGACATTTTTTTTGGGGAAATCGGGGAGAAATTTGGTGTGTTTTTTCAGAGATTGCGGGAGATCAAAGAAAAGTGATATAAAACGAAAGATACACACAAAATTGATAAGTCTTGAGCCATTGAATATGCAAATTTGAAACCAATTCCTTGGCCCTTTCAACAATGACTGCAGTACCTCGCAAAGTGGATTCGGCTGCGCAATTGCGCAGAGCTCCATTGGAAAAACTAAAAGCGGCTTCGGAATCTCAAGCAAATTTCAGCTAAAGCCCTAAAGGTGTTATATACCATTTAAAAGCTCGAAGTCTTCTCTAAAACAATGTATCCTTGGACTTTTGGTGAGAGCCGTTCGTTTCTAATCAGTTTGAAATTCATGCTTGGTTATTTCCTCCTTCGGGCTCTTAATTAACCGTGTCCTCTTTCTTCTGTAATTTTGCCTATTTTTATCCAATTTTCAATTTCTAAATATTTTCTAAAGATGGTACTTTATGACCAGTCTTAAACCTTTTTTGTTTTCACTATATATTCTCGCATTTTCCTTGCAAAGACCTTGGTGTGTTTTGTTGAGTGGAAATGAGGGGAAAGCTGAAAAAAGAGATGAGAAAAATACGAGGAAAAGAGAAGAAAATGCAGGAAAAAAATATCTAGAAAAGAGCTGGCAAGGAAAAGAAAATAGGAAAAAGCATTGATCGGGGCCTCTTATGGGCAAAGGGGGGACCCTGCCCAGGGTCCTGGGTATCCCCGGAAAAACCTGAGAAAACGAGCAAAGACCTCTTTCCCCTTTCCCTCCCCAGCTCCAACCCTTTTACTATTCTTTTTCTCTTTTTATTTTTTTGCTTTTTTTTCTTCTTTCCTCCTTTCCCAGCTCTTCGCTTTATATATTTTGCAGCGGAATTTTTTTTTGTCTTTTTTCTACTTTCATATCTTTTTTCCTCCTGAACTCCTGCATTTGATACATTTTTGAGGGTAAAGTTTTCGAGTTTTTGGGATTTGTTTATGTGTTTATTTGGATTTTCAATAAACTCTAACTCTTTAAAATGAAACTTTAATTCCACTTTGCGATCTCTATGCTTTCTAAAAGAGGCTAATGAATTCTGAGCTACGCTTGTTAATATTTGAAAAAAGAGAATCGAAAACATGGCACCTCAATCTATTATACTCTTCCAAATGCGTGTTTTCTGGCATGCTCACTTTCTTTTTTTTCGAAGTGACAGCTACCGTAAATACTGTAATCGTAAATACGTAAATACTTAATATTTTTTTTTCAAAGCGCTTGTTCCTTCAAAAAACGGTATTTACGTAAACCTTGTACTCTTCCCTAGTAAGATATAATATTAACTCCTTTCGCCAATCTCGAATCTATTTCTGGATCGAGTAGTCAAGCCGGGGAGGTGCTGGAGAAGGGGGTCCCCGGCGGCACAAATTTCTCCTCCACGTGATATCTCCTCCTTTTTTCCTTTTCCAGGGTCCCCTTTTCAGCTTTCGATTAGGTTTTCCTTCCCCGTATTCAGTTTTTTTTCTTTTTCATATCCATCCTCAATTAGTTTGACTATTTTTAGCTCGACGCTAGATTTTGCAGCTTTTCTTTGATCCTGTTAAAATTTGCATATATTTTATCGTTATCTTTTTTCATTTCTTCGTTTTTTTTGATTTTTTGGCCAGGTGTCTTTTTTGAGAAATTTTCTCAATCCTCCCCCGGGTCAGGTGAATTTCAATAAAACCAGACATATCAAAAACTCAATCGGAACTTATTTAAGCAAATTTCCCGAATACTCTATTCATTTCATTTCTTACTGTAGTGCTGTAGAACGAACACTGAGAAAAGCTGTATTTGCACGTAGTTTGTGCCTTTCTGGTGCACTCAATCGGAAACTATTCAATGGTTTTCACGTAACTCTCGTCGACTCTCATTACAACAATTTTGAAATTCTAAAGCACGCTCTTCCTTTCTGCGTAGCTGCCCAGCTTAATTTTCAGCTTAGTTTCAGCTGTAGTGTGGGCTCAACTGTAAACGCATTCTTTCTGGCGCACTGAATCCTTTATTTCCTCGGGACAGCAAGGCATTTCTGTAAGAAGCTGACGAATCGAGTGCACCAGAAAAGATCCGTTTCTACGTTTTGGCACAAAGTACACCTTTAAATACATTCCAGTTTCCACAAAACGTCAATCGAATCATTCTAATCCCGAATCGTCATTTGTCAAAAATAGTATTTTATTGCCGATCAAGAAGCGATAATTTCTCGGGTTTTTGCAATCGGCTTTTTTTCTCGAAAAACCCGGAAAACTCTTATCAAATTCTGTTGTTCACTCCAAAATGATTACTATTCATTTTCAAAATTGCAAAGGATGAGTATGAAGGAAAGCTTTTGGTTTCGTTGACAAGTCAAAGTCGGTGTGAAACACCAAACTAAAATACAGGGTTGGGCAAAATTATCCGGGCAACTTTTTGAAAAAGTAGTTGTCGCACGCTTAATTTATTTCAAAATGTCAAGTGTTATGTAGAGAATTGTAGGCCTTAATCTTGGCTATATTTATCTACTAAAACCTCCCCAGTCGGAGTTATGCAACTCATTTAACAAGTCCTTGAATGAGCACAAGTCGATGCCAACCCAGCGCGCTGCCATTTTTGAGGATTTTCTACATAAAAAGTTGTTCAAAAATTTTTCGAAGTTCAAACATTCGGAAAATTTTTCAACAACGGGTTTCTTAGCCGAAGCCTTGTTGAAGTCTCTCGTTTTGAGCCATTTGAGGGATTCCAATCAAACAAGAAAGAAAGTAAAACCCATGTACTGCTTCTCTTTTTCAGAGAAGGGATTAGTTCTTTTCTCGGATTTTCATTCATCTCGATAAGATCCAGGTGAGGATGATGAAGCTATTTTTTACCCATTCAGCCCCAGCGACACTGTTGATGAGCCGTCTTTAAGGGCTTTATTTCTGAAATCGTGAAAATGGCCAATAATTTAAAGTGTGTTTGCAAAAAACTATTGCTCATTCGGATTTCACCATCATGTTCAGCGTAGTCGATAGGCGTTTCGTCTTGATTTTCAGGTCGAGATTTCACCGCCAGGTCTGGTCATTCTCTTGTCAGACAAGGATTAGGGTCCAGGTGGGACCGATTATTAGACTTGACTTCTAGATGATCTGGGTAGCTTTTGGGTCAGACCCAGGCCATACTAGCAGTAGAACTAAATCTAGCCCCGGGGAATCGCGTTTGAAGTATCCTTGGTGCTAACAAGCTTTCCGGAAGTAGCCCAAGTTGGTTAAGCGTCTAGTATCAGTCTTGAATAGATCTAAATTACAAATATTAGAGTTCCATTGGGCTAATTGAATAATAAAACCTGTTTATTTGGTATTTGCCATATTCTCTCAAAGTTTTTGTTTCCTATGAACCCCGGATTTGTGTAGTTCTAAACCGGTTTATGTAGCACAAAAATTTCTCGGAAGACTCCGGATTCTTTAATAAAACCCTTGGAAGCTTCATCTGGAGCTTATTGAGATGAATGAAAATCCGAGAAAATAACTAATCCCTTCTCTGAAAAAAGAAATAAATCCAGCACATGGGATTTATTTTCTTTTTTGTTTTATTGAAATCCCTCAAATGGCTCAAAACGAGGGGATTTGACCAGGTTTCGGCTAAGAAACCCGTTTTTAGAATCCGAATTTTCCGGACATACGGGTTTTGTTTAGGTGAAATTGTTGCTTTGATAGAAAACTTAAAATTTAATACTTGTAAACTTCATTTTGGTTTCCTGAAAGAGATTGAGATAGATGAAAAACTCGCGTTAGATAACACAAGCATTCACCGGCAAGTTAGGTATGGTTCAAGTTCATCAAATTGGGAATGGCCAGCCGGTTGAATAGAGTCTGGGCTTAATTTTGCATTTAAATTCATCTGAAGTAAGAACTTCTCCAGATCCTGACTTCCGTCGGACCCAGAAACCGTTTGGGGACCAGATTTGCAGTAAAGTTAAGCCCAGCAAAGTCATGACAAAAGCCAGAAACTAGTCCCAAACCTGGTTTCACTTATCTACTGGTGAAGCAGGTCTACTACATCTTTCACATCACTCGTTTCCCGTCCCTGTTTCCTTTCCCCACCATCAATATCTCAATCACTCAAATTTCTTCGCTGACGTAAACAGCAAAATTTACAGCCACTAGAAAATTTCCGGCTTGTAAATATCCCGAATTATTCAGTTATCCGGGGGTTGCCCATTTGTAAAGATAGGAGAAATGTGGACGGAAAACAGTCCACGTTTGGAATATGTTTGGAAAGAAAGAATTCAAAGACCCCGTCAGTACCCCCTCACAAAATGATAAGCATTGCTCTGTCCCCTTCTCCCATTTTTCCAATAATCAATTGCCTTCGAGTTCCGGAATCAAACCGAACCGTCTCCCAGTCTGATCTTGGTTCATCGATGTGGCTCGTGGTTCAAACTGTTGCACTATCTAACTTGCTATATTTTTCCGGTAGATTTTACCCCATCCTAATGAGTCATATTCCTTTTAGAATAGTTTAGATATGACATAGATATGACATAAAAACCGCATGATATTACCTAAATTCTTTCTTTGCCATAAATTCCATGAACCTTTCTGACCAAATCAGGCATTCATTTTCTCGAGTACGTGATTTCCGCCAAATTTGGTGTTGTGATGAGAACTATTCAAGTGACGTAGTCGTTCGCTTTACCCTCTCACCGATCAAAGGTCCGGTCCCCCTTTCCCCTCTTTTCATTTCCATACTTGAATGGCCGGTCTTTCTCTTTCTTTTCTCAAGTGATTGTCCAGCTCTCAATCTCA